TGAGTCTTTTATCATTAAAATCAGAGAAAAAGTAAGTGTGTGTGTGGCGGGGAGGTGAGTGAATTATTTACTTTTAAAACGAGTGGATTACATCAATGTCTGGTTATTATCATTAAAATGAGAGAGATAAATATTTAATTTTAACGTGTGGGTTGCATTATAGTCTAGATATTTGAATTAAGACGAGAGAGTTAAATATTTACTCTTAACACGTGGATTAAATCCTAATTTATCATTAAAGATACCGTAACAAAGCTCGAAACCAAAGAACTAGAGGAACGCGCCAGTGATCGACCACGTTGGCGAATCACAATCCATGATGCTGCTATGACCTTCGAGGAAGCTCGATGTCAAAAGCTCACCGCTGCCAGAGATCAACGCCACAGGGCATCGTTAGCTGTGATTACGAAAACAGACTTTCAGTGCCCCGATTCTTCAAGACTCTGCGCCTCCAGCTTGGGGTTGTGGAGCCACCTTCGAGTACACAGATGAGAAGCAGGTATGACACGTCATATATATATATATATATATATATATATATATATATATATATATATATATATGTATATATATATATCGGTTGTCCTTCGAATCCGAAGATGACGTGTCATATCTGCTTCTCATCTGTATATATATATATATATATATATATATATATATATATATATATATATTTTCGCGTATAAGGCGATCTTTAGATAAGATGAGATAAAAAATATAGGAAATTTTCATGAATTTATCCTATACCTGTAGTGTAAGACAGCTATTTATTGATTATAAAAGTGATGTTATTAGAAATGCTTTTACTTACTGTATTCTTAGAAATCCAAAATAAACGAAATAACAAAAAACCGACTCTATATCATGGTTTTCCTACACACGTCCACTAGGAAAAATTGTTTCGTTTACGTTTCATTATGTGATCTCTTGCGAATTATTATTATTATTATTATTATTATTATTATTATTAGCCGTCGTCGTCTTCTTCTTCGGGCTTGAGCAGGTGGATGACAAAACGTGGTCTGGGGGAGGAAGCAGAGGGAAGGAACTTGTTGAAAGCTGCAAGGGATAGAGGGAGGTGGAGAGCCATGATCGCCTACGTCCTGAAAGGACATGGCAGATAAAAAGAAAGAAACTGTTACAAAGAGTCTGGTGTACTATTTTTTTTTTTCAGTCTGTTCCTAACTTCTGTCCAAACCAGTTGAAATTTCTTATTATCAATCATGGGAACCACCAGCAAAACGAAAAAAGTATGAAACGACATTTAATTAAATAGAACGCAATCTCCACTCGTTTACATTTTCTATTTTTATTATCAGTTTATATTTGATAATGTAAATTTTTTCATGTACGTTATTGGTTATTGCATCGAGGATGAGATTAGCTTACCGACAAACGTCACTCAGAATTTAAAGTTTCTTTTTTAGAATTGTTGTACATGACAACCCCCAATTTTTAAGGGTGATTTTTTTTCATATATGCGGAAATTTAGGAATGAGGAGTTATCATTATTTACATTCGGACTAGATATAAATTGTGTAGAGAGATAAATATTTACTTTTAACGTGTGTATTATTACATCTGAGTTTGGCCATTGTCATTAATTCGAAAGAGCGAAACATTTACATTTAGTCTGGCCATAATGATGATGATGATGATGATGATGATGATGATGATGGAGAAAGAGCGAGAGAGAGATGTTTGTACTTTTAATGTGTATATTACATCAAAATAGGTGTCAATAATTCGCCGAAAAAAACTGCATAGCATGATGAAAAAAGGCCCCCAAAAACAAAGTACTATCGTGAAGAAGTTTATGTTATTAATAAGAGGAAAGATCAAAGTATTTTTAATATTTTTTTAAATTTTTATTCCTTTCTAGCACGTTTGAAATTTTGGTTGAAAATCTTGTTTTTTTTTTGGGGGGGTCATTTTTTTACGTCAGCGGTGGCGTAATATTTAGCATTAGTTTCTTTAGCGCTTTTTTCAGTTGAAAAACACATTAATTTGGAAATTCTTGTAAAAATCAAATAGTTATCGGATTTTAATGAAACTTTCAGAACTTATTAAAAATGAATGAAATTATTTTAGAACTGTTTGTTTTTTAGAAAGTCATGGTAAAAATATTTTTTTTACATCTGTTACTCCCCTTACTTAATTTTATAAAAACTTGAAAACATGCGCATTTTAATTAAATGCGGAAGACTTTGAAGAATATAAATCATCGATTATTTTTGTAAATCGAGGAGCGTTTCTACCCAAACTTTAGCTCTGAATTGTAAAATACAAACCCCAATAAAACCAAGACATTATTTAATTAAAAAAGTTTTTAATGGCGTTTATAAATAATATATGGTAAGGACATTATTGTCTGAAGCCAAAATATTTTTCGATGAAAAATGAATTTTTACAAGAATTGTTTTCTTTTTTTTTTCAATATTAAATACAAAAATGTGATAAAAATGTCCAATTTTAAAAATTAAGTTTGAATATGTGCATCTTTGGAAATGCTCTTATTAAAAGATCTATTTTTACAGATCATAAATTTGAAAGCTTATAACAATCTGCGAAGCATTTCTATTTTTACAACAATTATTTAATATGCCAAAAAATGTATTAAAAACGTATCCGGCAAAACTACGGAGGCACAATTCAGAAATAATGTCTTGTATTTTAAGAGTTGTTTCTCCTGATAGGGAGGATCCGGCCTCATAAATTGCGTTGATTTCGTATCAAATTCTCTGACTGACCGACCATCATCGTCGCATTTTCAAAATTTTTTATTTTTTTTACATATTTCATTAAATATTTTCTTTTCTTTTTTTTAAATATAATCAATTTTTTCTTTTTCAGCGAGAGATATACTGCAATTATTTTTTTTTCTTTTTTAGATTCAGTTTTAGGGACGGAAGCAGTGCAGGCTTTATATATATGTTCGTTAAAAAAGTACCTAAAAAATCAATAAAATGTTAGACTTTTGAACGTATTTAATTTTTAAAAATTACTTTATAGTTAAATAAGCTGGTTCGCTTAAAATTCGAAAATATCATCACTTCTGCCCTTCCGTCCGATAAATTGCCCTGGCGTTAGTTGTCGATACATTGACGTAAACGTCAATACACACCTCCAAAACCAATCACCACGGTTAGACATACTTCTCTTATTTTCAAATAAATTTTTTCTGCTAAAAAATTAAATAATGTTTGTTTCAAATTATATTAACTATACTTTAAATTTTCTAATTTTCCTGAAATAACTTTTGAAAAAAAGTATAATTGAATTTTTACAAGATTTTTAAACGGGAACTTCACTTTTGTTTACAAAATTACAAAAATATTTTCACGCTAATATTACATAGGCTGGCCATTATCGTTAAAGAGAGAGAGATAAATATTTACTTTGAACGTATTGCTTACAACATAGTCGGGTGTTTATCAATGAAAAGAGATAGAGAAATGTTTAATCTTAATGCGTAGATTACCTCATAATCTGGCCATCATCATTAAAAGGTGAGGGAGAAATAATTACTTTCCTCGCTAGGATTACATCATAGGCTGGCCATTATAATTAAAGAGAGAGAGATTGTGATAAATATTTACATTGAACGTATGGCTTACATCAGGGGTGGCCAACCTTTTGATTCCATGCGCCAATATTTTGTACGATTAATTTAAATGTGTCACACAAACATTCACTTTCTTTCAGTACGTGTTGTAATATGGACATATTTTAAAGTTATAATAAAATCAATTTATTTGAAAAATATATGCTTATGACCAGGGGCGTATCCAGGAGTTTTGAAAGGGGGTGGGCCATCAATCAATGCTTTGAATTTTTTTTCCTCTTCAGATTTTGCAGAGGGGGGGCCATGGCAGAGTTTATAATATTTACATAGGCAAAATAAACAAAAATAACTTTAATGTGTCTTTTGATTCTGCTTTGTTTTCGCCAAACCAACAATATTAGGAGTTAAATTCGTAACTGAAAGCAACAAACAATTCTTCAAGTTGGAATCGGACAGTCGCGACCTCAGTTTGCTTTTGATCATTTTTATGGAAGAAAATGACTGCTTGCATCTGTACGTAGTTCCAAAGAAACAAACATATCTTTGGGCAAATTTTCTCATTTCTGGAAAATTGTTCACATGGTAATGATCGCCAAAAACCAATCATTTCTGACGCACTTGGGAATGAGGAAAGTTCATTAAATTTTACTTTCAATATTGAATTTTCTTTTAGTTCAATAAGTTCCATTTGTATATTACTAGGCATCTTTAGAATGTTATGTTCATTAAGTGAAAATGGATTTATAAATGCAAGCATGCAGTCTTCTTCAGAAAAATCACTAAAGCGACTATTAAAGGCTTCTTGTAGTAATTTGATTTTTTCAATGTATTTTGCAAAGTTGACAATATTTTCAACATATTCACTTTGTTCTTTTAAATGTAGCAATTTGCTCAAATCTTTTTTTTCTAACTGAGAGGTGAACACTTTCAACTTTATCTTGAATGCACTGATATCATTTACTAAGCAAGGAAACAGTTGGTCTTTGCCCTGCAGTTTAAGACTGAGGTAGTTGACATAGCTGGTAACATCAACTAAAAATGGTAAATCTAACAACCAGTTCTCATTACGCAAAAGGGCCCTTTCCTCGGGCAACTCATCTTTTTCTTCTAGAAAATCATGGACAATGTGTTTCAGTTTCCAAAATCGTTTTAGAACTTGTTCTTTAGAAAGCCAACACACCTCGCAGTGATATAAGCCTTACATCATACTCTGGTAATTATGAATGAAAAAAGAGAAATGTTTAACCTTAATGCGTAGATTACTACATAATCTGGCCATCATCATTAAAAAGTGAGGGAGAAATATTACTTTCGACGCTAGGATTACATCACAGGCTGGTCATTATCATTAAAGAGGGAGAAATAATTAAACGTATTGCTTACATCAGTGTCTGGTCATTATCAATGAAAAAAGATAGAGAAATGTTTAATCTTAATGCGTAGATTACCTCATAATATGGCCAACTTCATTAAAAGGTGAGGGAGAAATATTTACTTTTCTCGCTAGGATTACATCATTGGCTGCCCATTATCATTAAAGAGAGAGAGAGAGAGAGAGAGAGAGAGAGAGAGATAATTAGACGTATTGCTTTCATCATAGTCTGATCATTATCAATGAAAAGAGATAGTGAAATGATTAATTTTAATGCATAGATTACCTTATAAGCTGGCTATCATCATTAAAAAGTAAGGGAGAAATATTTACTTTCCTCGCTAAGATTACATCATAGGCTGGCCATTATCATTAAAGAAAGAGAGAGAGAGAGACTGTGATAAATATATTAATTTGAATGTATGGCTTACATCATACTCTGGTCATTATCAATGAAAAAAAGATAGAGAAATGTTAAATTTTAATGCGTAGATTACCTCATAATCTGGCCATCATCATTATAAATAGAGGGAGAAACATTTACTTTTCACGCTAGGATTACATCATAGGCAGGTTTTTATCATTAACAAGAGAAAGAAAGAGAGAGAGAGAGAGAGATAAGAGAAATAAATATTTACTTTGAACGTATTGCTTACATCATAGTCTGACAACATATATAACGAAAGAGAAATACAGCATGCATAATAGTAACACCCTTTTATATTTATTAACTTTTCTTAAATAAAAATAAATTACAGTAGTTCAAGATGGCTTAATTAATTATGTCTTATACATTCTGGTTGGTTAAAAATAATTGAAGCTGAGATGGATAAGACAACGTGGAGCAATTGAGTGGCCATCACGAACACCAGACCTAACACCAACAGACTTTTCTTGTAGGGTTTACTGAAAGATCTTGTTTACAGGCTCAAACCGAAAACAACACCTGAATTAAAACAAGAAATTTCTGATAAATCTTTTGAAATTAGTGTACATATATGTGAAATTGTTTGTAGAAATTTTACTGATAACGTTCGTTCAGCGTTGTATTGAACATGAAGGAGAGCATTTTGAACATGTTAATAGTTTGTTACTCATAAGAAATGATGTTTTGATGTGACAATAACTATAAATGTTGTTAAACTACTGTAATTTATTTTTGTTCATTAAAAGTTAAAAAATAATAAGGACACTGCTTTTGCCGCTCCCTGTATTTATTTTTAACGCATGGATTACATCATAGTCTGGTTATTATCATAAAAAGAGAAAAAGAAATATTTACTTTTAAACGTGTGGTTTAGCCTGGCCAATGTAAAACTATAAATAATGAAATAAAGTCAATTTCTTTTGATGATGTATAATTCATGAATGAAGAGCTCAGATAATTAAACAAAAGCTACTTTTTTGTACTTTTTTCTTGTATTCTTTCTCTGGTGCTCTTGGTGCACATTTTCGTTTTTCTCCTGTGGGTAATGTGCTTGCTTTTATTCGTTGTTTTGCCGATTCTGAACGTACAATACTTTGCCTTTTTTGAAGTGATGCCTCGTTTGGTTTCGTTAATTGTTGGACTGAAGGTTTTCTTTTAAATTGATCTTGGCACTTTGGTGGTGATCGGACAGGTGATTGCCGTACTTGATCTACTGGAGAAGTCCGAGTCAAAGATGGCCTTCGGTTCTGTTTATCATTTTTTTGCCGCATATTCTCTTCTGCAACTTCTTCGATGTAAGATTTACGTCGTGAAAGTTGACGCTTTGGCGATGGTAATAATGTACTCTCATCTGGCTGTCGGTAAGAAAGTCTTCTAACTACTGAAACCTCTTCTGGTTCATGGGACATTCGACGCGCTTTAGGCTTTGGAGAAATGGTAGGTGAAGGCGATATCATTGAACCAGATTCCTCTTGCGATAAAATACCATGTGCAGATGTTGTTGGAGATTTTAAATTAATTAATTTGTCTGACATTCGAGCCATTAATTGTTCTTTAACGGAATCTTGCACATTACCATCTTCAGAGTGCATTTCTTTCTTTTTATCTTCTTTTTCTTCATCTTCATTCTGTTTTTCTTTTATCTTTTGAAGTTCCTTTTCCCGTTTTTCTTCCTCTTCTTTCTTTTCTTTTTCTTTCTTCGCTTTTTCTTTCAGCTCTTCTTCATTTTCTTTCTTTATTTTTTCTTCTTTTTCTTTCTTTATTTTTTCTTCTTTTTCTTTCTTCTCTTTTCTCTCCTTTTCTTTTTCTTCTTTTTCTTTCTTCTCTTTTTCTTCTTTTTCTTGTTTTTCTCTTCTTTCCTTTTCTTTTCTTTCCATTTCTTCTTTTTCTTTTTGTTTCCTTTCCTTTTCTTCTCTTGCTTTCTTTTCCTTTTCTTGCTTTTCTTTTTGCTCTAACTCTTTTATTTCCTTTTCTCTTTCTATTTTTTCCGCCATTCTTCTTTCATCTCTTTCTTTCTTTTCTTTTTCTTTTTCTTCTTTTTCTTTCTGCAGTCTTTCTCTTTCTTCCTTTTCTCTGATTTCTCTTTGTTTTCTTTCCTTTTCTTCTTTTTCTTTTCTTTCTAGTTCTCTCCGCATTCTTTCCCTTTCTCTTTCACAACCGACCTCTGCCAATTCTCTTTCTATTCTTTCCTTCTCTTTTCTTTCCTTTTCTCTTTTTTCCTTCTCTTTCTTTTCACCATTTTTGTTGTTGGCATTTTCATCCTTGTCTTCAGTTTCTGCGTTTTCATTTTCTCTCATTTCCTCGTCGTTTTCATCTTTTCCTTTATCTTCCTCCCCCTTTTTTAATTCTTCTCTTTCCTCTCTTTCTTTCTTTTCTCTTTCACTTTCAATATTTTCTTCTTTTACCTTTGCCGGTTTTATTGTCGAGACGGTTTTTTCAGGCATTTGTTTTGTAACCGATCGTTTGATAGGTTCATCAAAATCTACAAAGCCTGCTTGGGATTTATTTAATTCTGCTTCCAAATCGAATTCATTAATTCGTTGAACTATATTGTCCCAATGTTTACGGTTTTGCACACAGTTGTCATATAACCGCATAAAAGTCTCGTCGAATTCTGACATCGTTTGAAAAACTCTCAAGCAAATGGTATCAATGAAATGTATCATCATTTGAGGGATTTTGTGACCTTCATTTTTTCTCATAACTGGAACCTCTTTTCTTGAATCGGATGTTTGGAACAACTCTGATGCACCTGCCAAAACAATTATTTTATGATTATTCCATGGTTTTGAAAAGGCAGATAAGTCACAACTGACCATTGTCAAAACAGTTAACATGTCTTTGTCGTGTTCATTATGAAAAGGTGCCCTTTTTTTCTTTAGTTCATCGAAATGTTTCACATTAACAAGGTAAACAAAAATATCAGTCGCTAAAATTGCTTTCTTAATGAATTCCATGGCTTCTCTGTATTTTTCAGTGGTGAGATTTTGGAAAATGTTAGTTGCGTCAGCATTTAATATCATTATACAACGGCCTAACACTTGTTCAGAAGAAGACGTGCTATAGACAGTTGCTAACAAGGAAACAGGTTTCAGATTCTTAGCACTACTCGACCCTTGATAGTCAAGATCATGACAAAGACTTGCAACTAATAAACAAATGCACTCAAAAGGAGTGAAATATTTCTTCAAAACCCCTTTGCTTAAAGCACAAAACAGTGTCTGAGTAACATTGAGTGCGTGGCGCCAATTATGATATAAAAGAGATTTGTAGTTTTTCTTTACTGTCAATATCCAGTGGTATAGATGTTCTAGGCTAATACCTAAAATATTCAGTGCATTCATTTTAATAAATATTAAAGCACTCGCCTGAATTGTAGATACATCACTCAACACTAAGTCGTTAAACGCAAAGTCATATAATTTGCACTCATTGGCTGATGGCATTTCTATATGCACAATTCGATCAACTTCCTCTCTCTCGGAAGTCATGTGATAGGAAAGGATTTCCATGAGAACTTGTTTGATCGTCAGTGATTTAACTGTTGTTTGATACAACTGACAATTATATAAACCAAGACCACAGTACACAGCAAAAGCTTCAACTGTGTTGGTGTCAGCTTGATTGTGAATTGCCTTTGTTTTCCCTGCAAACATAATACTACCAATACACACATCTGAAGGATCATGTATAGACGTACATAATACCCAGTTGGCACCTTCTTCATATGTTTTCATTTTATTCTCTTTATTCTCGTCAGTATTCTGTTCAGAGGAAATTCCTTCACTAACACTATATTCCGGATTATCACTCAAATTTATCATAAATATTCTTTCTTTACTTTGCAGACTCTTTTTGGCTATGCTCGTGTACAAATCTTCAGTTTCTTTGCTTGTGATTATTACCTCTGCTTTAGGAGAATTCAGACGATAAGTCTTAGAAAATGACTTACCCTTGTTCTCCAATAGGTAAATAGATGCAAATTTGCATTTAATTATTTGCAAAGCGTGTTCTAATATAGCTTTGATAATTTGGTCAATATTGCTTTGTCCAGTGGATATTTGCCAAGCCAAATTCAACAGAAGTTGATTTCTTTGAATTTCTTCGATTGACATCTGAAATAGACGCGCGTTATTAATGCCAATTCCACAGAAATTTAAGTATTCACTGAATAGAATTTCGTCTTGTTCTGAAAAATGATTTACACCTTGTTTGTTCATGATTTCAGCCACACCAACTACGTCACCTTCTTTATTCAATATTGGCATACAAAGGATACAGCGGGTTTGATATCCTGACAACTTATCCACATCAGGATCAAAGCGAGGATCATCGTAAGCATCTTTTATATTCATGGAAATCTTTGACTCTGCAACCGTTCCAACAATACCTTTACCAAAAGGTACGTGAATTGCGTTATCCTCATTGTGTATTGTTTCATCCAGCTGGGATGTAGCAGTAACATCAAACAGTTTAGATACTAGATATTTTTCATCAACTCCTTCTACAAGAAAAAGCCTACCACGATCACTCCTTGTTAGATAAATAACATTTTGCATGATTTTATGACTCAGTGCGTCAACGTTTAGTTCGCCAGCGATGTCTTTTACAAATTCACTGAAGCGTTGATTTTCATCCATGGTAGCATCAATAATTTTTTTCTTTTGAACTCTCTGTTGATTGACCAGCTTCTCCACACATTTGGACATAGATAGTGTTGGTGGTGCAGTCTCATTAATTTTCTGGCTAAGAGATCTGTTAAGATCATTTTTCGATAGAAACGTACCCAAAAAATCAGGGTTGGAATTTAGAAATGTTTCTACTTCTTTGAAGTCTAAGTTATTCGTAGTCATACTTACTTTTGTTCCGAGTTGGTATATCAAAACCAGATGACAACGTAATCGACACGTAAACTTTTGGTGACAAGGTAAAACGTACAGTATCTAAAAAACCTTATTAGTATCCTTTGTTTGCAGTTACTCAGAATATTATGAACAGTTCTTACTCCTTTCCTTTATACTTTGATATTGTTTAATGTTTCTTACAAAGAGGTTGCCATTATTTGTTATTTTAAGTTTGTATCAGTCATTCATAAATCTGGATGGACAACCCAGCTCGGAACCTTTAAATATAATCAGGTATGAATAAAATTATTTTACTAGAAAAATGTTTCGATGATACCGAAGCATTCTTTTAGCGTATGTAAAGGAATCGGATTTTATGACGTCATTTCCGCCTCTTAGCTAATACGTAACATTCTAAATTCATGAATTTGTCACAATAACTACTGAGTAACATTTCCTAATTTTGATTTTCTGCTAAAGAAAGAAAAACACAAAACTAACTTGCTTATCCTTATTTATCCAATAAGAATAAGACGATTTAATTCGTTCAGTGTAAAATAACATTAAATTCATGTGTCAAATTAAAATGTTAACATCATTCTTATTGTAAAGATACAAACAGATTTTAAATTAATCAAATCTAAAATAACTATAACCTCGTCGTCAGGTTTATCTCGTATTCAAGAATTTAATTTCTTCTTTGCTGATCGCTTATTTTATGATGATGGCGTAAATGACTAAATTCGCCGCCAACGTGCAGGATCAGAACTAGAACCTTTCAGTTTCATCAAAATCTGCTCCCGTCATCCATTCTCTATGGCCGTTTGGCATTGCAAGATTTGGTTGGAGATGAAAGAAAATCAGCGTAGAAGAAAGTGCCGATGGCGTGAATTTGTTTAAGGTGGGCCTCAACTTGTCAGGAAGTAACCCACACACTTGATTTCATTACCTTTGGCACACGTGAAATGAGACATGCAGCATCCATTTATGAAATTGCAACAGACTGCCGCTGACTCTTATAATTTCGAGTGGCATCTTCTGTAGCATGTCCGCCCTTTTCATCCACCGGTTCAACCGTTGAAGTCTGTTGTCATCGTCATCCGCCTGTTCCACCGTTGGGGTCTTTGGGGCTAATTTCGCTTAGTCTGAGTCCTCGTCTTAGACCTTGCCATCAACGGTGTCCCTACCAGGAGTTTAGAGATCCTAACGGCATCGCCCTCGGTTCCTGGATTACATAAGCCACTCTACAGCGGCAAGGAGCAACCTTCAAAGGTACGCACATAGAACCTTACAGTGTAAGATTAGGTTACATTTTAAAGCCTTACACCAATCAACCCAGTGTACAGTTTCCACTGCATTTGACGAAACACTCATTTTTAATATTTAACATAAGCTTAGTTTAAGTTCAAGAACTAAAGTGTGAGTCACCTACTAAGGATCACACACTGTTCGCCAGGGAATTAATTGGTAGTCTGTAGTGGATTTGATTGTAAACGAAATAGGAAAATTATGATGCTGTTTACTACGCTTAACGATGAACAATTAATTTTAAATGCCTAAGTATCCTAACACTCTTCGGCAAAGTCTATGAAGCTTTAATCAACGCCGAAGTGGTTAAGCACCTTACATCCCATTATCTGCTCTCCGACAAGCAATATGGCTTCCACTTTTCCCGTTTTACAGCTGATGTGCTTACGGCCATAACTGAAATTGTTTACCAAGCACTTCATAATACCGGAGAAGCTCGTGCCGTGGCTCTTGATATCTCCAAAGCGTTTGATAGGGTATGGCATGCCGGCCTTCTTCGCAAGCTTCAGGGTTATGAAATTACAGGTCGATTGTTTGACTTAATACAAACATTCCTGTCAAACCGTGTATTGAAGTTCGTTCTCAACGGATTCTCCTCCAGTTCCTATCTCACGAACGCAAGTATACTCCAAGGCTCTATCCTAGGCCCTACTCTGTTCCTCATCTTCATTAACGATGTTCCTGATGTCATAGGTTCCCTAGTAGGCATCTATGCGGACGACACTACTATTTACTCCTGCCTCAAAAACAAATCTAGTGTCGCTGACAAAACTAACCTGGCCGTTTGTCTCGAAAAGGACCTCCAATCGGTTGTGGACTGGGGCAGGATTTGGCTGGATAACTTTAATGCCTTAAAAACAAAACTTCACTCTATCATTCACTACAGAGAACCATCCCTGCCTCCCATTAGAATGTCTGACGCTCAACTCCACGAGAGCATCTCTTTGCGACTGCTCGGACTCACATTGTCTGCTGACCTGAGATGGAACAAATACATTGAGTCAATAGCTTCGTCCACCGCAAAGAAAGTTTGCTCCCTGTGCCGCTAAGAAATTTTTCTCGCCGGAGTCGATCCTTCAAATCTACGAATCAACCATTCGCCCTTGCATGGAGTATTGCTGACATATATGGTCTGGGTCTCCTTATGTTTGTCTCAAGGTCCTTGATAAAATCCAGAGACGGATATGCAATGTAACTGGCCCTGATCTGGCGTCTCGTCTGCAGTCGCTCTCTCACAGATGTGCCGTCGTCTCCCTCTGTCTTTTTTAACAAATACTTTCACGGTAACTGCTCCGAGGAGCTGCTTTCGCTGGTTCCCAGACTTCATGAATTTAAGCGTTCAACTAGGCTGGCATCTTGCTCTCGCCCCTTCACTGTTGAAACTGTTAAATG